GTCTGATTGCAGAACTGGTGAAATTAACCGCACCTACACATTTTGCTTTAAGTAGCTTCATTTTATGGCCTGAGACATTGTTCCTATAAACACAAAGTTAAACACACACATACACACATACAATTAAATATAAACCCACAAATTGTATTTATTTTAATCAGAATAAAAAACCACATGTAAATCAAAAATCAAGAATGGGAAAAAAATCGATTTAAAAACTAAATCAGAAAATATAAATCAATGTACCTTAAACATAGGGGAAGGGGGAAGGAGCTAGTTGCATCCATGGTAGGACTTGGTTAGCGGAGAGATGAGTGGATTGTTGATGAATGTAAAGAAGAATAGAGGATCATCATTGCTCCCCTGCGGATCTATATGCGTTAAATGGGAGAGAGAAAGTTAAGTGAGAAACGTGAAGAGGGGGTGATGGAAATTCAGAAAAATAAGTCAAATAGCTTAACCTAGATGCCGACCAGATTGAACATCGAGCTCTTTTTCCTGGATTTATTAATGAACACATATACTTGTAGAAAGATACCTCAATTGGCAGAGAAGTTGAGTACCAAAGATGACCTTAAAAGCTTGAAAATGCCAGAATAAATAAACAAAGAGAAGAATAATCAAGATTACTAACTCCTTAAAAACTTACCTCAAGCATCTTCCTTTTTTTGTGATAACCGTCTTCAAATCATACCAAAACCTGCAAGAAACATGTGGCTGTTAAAGGCACATTAATAGGAAAAACAATGATTTCTCATCTATTAAAAATTACAAAACCAAAATAAAACCCAAATCAAATGAAATAAGAGGATGAAAGTGACCTTTTCAAAACAAAACTCACCTTTCAGATCTGGGTTTCGCTGCAGAAAAAACGAAAAATTAATTACAATCAGTAGGCGTCTCTGGTTCCTTTTCTTCTCCCTTCAAACCTATCAAAATTTCAACACGAAAAACATAGAATTAGTTCCTCTTTAGTTAAACTGCTTTGTCCTTGTAAGGTCGACAACAAGGGTTTCTGGAGTTCCATAACTATTGACAAAAAGAACCAGAAATCAACCTTCATTTGTTCGTGTTTGTGTGTATGAGTACAGAGAGACCTGTCATTGTATTTCCGTGTGTTTTATGGATAATATATATACAAGAGACAGACTAACTCTTTAAATTGTGATCCAATAACCCTACAAATGAAAACAAAATCATACCAGGTACATCGATGTTGTACCTGAAATCGAGAAGAAGAAACAACAATACCGAGAGAGAGAGAGAGAGAGAGGGAGGAAGAGACGTTGAATGTATGTTTGGTGGTATGCAGGGGTGAAGAAGTTCAAATTCAGGGTTTTTATGATTCGTGGAGAGAAGCGTGCGATGGTGGTGGCGTATGGTGGGGACAGCATTGCAACGGTTCTGGTGTTGACTGTGGATGACGGCGGCGATTGTAACACTGCATATGAGATCTAGGGTTTTGGAGTGATGGTGATGGTTGTGAAATATTGTAAAATATAGGGGGAGATGGTACCAGATCGGGGTGGTGAAGGGCGGTGGCAGAAAATGTGGACTTCCAGGGGGCGATCATCTAGTTGAGAGAGAAGAACAGGGTGGTCGGTGACATACTTCTGGGTTGTAGCGACGACGTCATGAGGGTGGTGGTAACGGAGGCCTGCTGAAGATTCAAGAGAGCAAGTAGAGAGACAGAAGAGATTTGGGAGAAACGATGGTTTGTAGATGATATTAGGGTTTTCTACGTTTAAACATAGGGGCGGGAGAATATACGTTTTCGTTAGGCTTAATAGATTTGTAAATAGTGTTATAACAGGTGTACCTCTTAATTTTCAAGAAATAGTCAATATGTTTAATAATATAATATATATATATATATATATATATATATATATATATATATATATATATATAAAGTAAAAAAAAGTATTTCATGAGTATTGTTTCCATTAATCCGTGAACCCGATAGCCGAAACAAAAATTCATATCGCAATTCCAATTTCCGCTCTTGCAATTGGGTCGTTGCGATTACGGGTTGGATGTCTAATTGTCCAGACGGTAATGATAGTATCTTGTACCTGAACCAGTGGCTCACTTTTTCTAAGTAATGGGGAAGAGGACCGAAACATGCCACTGAAAGACTCTACTGAGACAAAGATGGGCTGTCAAGAACGTTGAGGAGGTAGGGAAATTGGATGCAATTACTAATTTATAATCTGGCATGTACATAATGAAAACTTCATTCTCGATTCTACGAGAATTTTTATGAAAGCTTTTCATTTGCTTCTCTTCTTTGGGAGTTCATCAGGTTTTCTTGTTATATTTTATTATTATTATATATTATACCAATTATAATGTATGTGATATTTGAACTTCATTATGTTTTTTTTAATTTGATTTTTTATATTTTAATGGGTATTCGTGAACCGAACCGTGGTTACTCGTCTTTATACAGTTCGGTGTTTTTGTCAATTTGGTTCAGTTTCGGTTAGTGCACATGAGGTACCCGCCCTTTGGTCATGGTTCACAATTTTATTATTATCCAAACTGAATCGTCTCATGAGCACCCCCAGAGGCGGAGGATCATTAGGGCCAGGAGGGGCTATGCCCCCCCCCCCTCCCTGATTTTTTTATAAGAACTAGTTATAACCCAGGAAATGTTACTCAAATTAAGCCCATAAAAAGAAAATGTTTGGGCTCCCCCCCCCCCCCTCTTCGAACCAAAGCCATCGAGGCATCTACACTTCTAACCCTCGCTCAGTCGCTCCATCATTCGTTGTTTGCTGGAAAACCTATCCACCTCGGTACCTCCCAATCATCGTTGATAGCTCCACCTCTCACCTTTGCACTGGAATCAATCAGGTATGTTTAGTGTTCTCTCAATTTCTCTCTTCTCTCTTCTCCATCGGACCAGCAGTAAACCATTATCTTAGCTCCTCTGATTAAGTTTCACTGATTTGTATCTCAATTCTTGATATGTGATTATGCTTGCTATACTCAATTACTTGCTTTAAATAAATGATTAGCTTGTTCTTGGACACACATTGTTAGTTAAATTGTTGGTTCATTCAAGCAAGATGCAATCTAAATGTGTGTGTAAAAACTTAGAAACCACGAGCAGCTAGAAATAGAAAAAGAAAATAAAGAATAGAAAAGAGAAGAAATTGTAGCTAGAAAGAGAAAAGAAAAGAAAGAATAGAGAATAGAAAAGAAAGTGTGAGAGAAGATGGGCACAAAAAGGAAAACAAGTATGATTTAGGAAATGAGGTTACAGAAGAAGAGAAAAATGGTAACAACAAACTCTTGCCTTCATATTGACTAGTCTCATTATTGGTTTTTTTATCAAATACTCACCTATTTTCTTGCCTTCCCAATAAACAAATTGATAAAATTTTTGAATAAGCAAAAGTGTTACTATTTTATAAAAATTAAAGAATTAAAAATGGAAGTTTAGATGATTTTGTCGTCTGTTGGTTTAAATAGAAAGATAAATTATTGAAAATAGTGACCGGAAGTTTGTAATTCTTCTTCGTTGTATTTTTGGTGTTTATTTGCTGAATTTTTTTTACAGTTTCGGCCCCCAAATTAATTGTTCAAGCTTCGCCCCTGAACACCCCTAGACGTACTAGCTGAAAAGCTACTTGCTAGTTAAAAACTAGTTGTTGTTTTTTGGGCGGACATGAAAAACTAGTTTAAGTAGTTTTTTTTTTTTAATAGCAAGTTACTTTTTGGCTATACATTAAAGTTCAAAAAGTTCGAGATATAAACTAGTTTATCAGCTAATTGCGATGCTCCAAACACAAACTATGTTTGGAATGCATAAACTAGCTTCTTTTTTTAGTTTATTGTAATTTAGTGTTTGGTGAAACCACAAAAGTAGCTTATAAATTAGAAGCTAGCTTTTCAGCTAACTCGTCAAACAGAACGTTAGTAGGTTAAGCCAAAAAAAAGGTTTGGCTTAGTTTATTAAGACAATAACTCTTTACATATCTCTCCTTCTTTTCCTCCAACTCCTCGTGTTAAAATTTATTAATATTGTTGATATTGATGAATGTTGTAGAATTTGTTTTATGGAGAGGAATGTATAGTAAATGATGATTTAGTCTCATTAGATGGTTTATTCGGTCCATATATAGACTGACATTTTATCCATTACTCATTCATTCAATTTATTTTACCCATAGATGACTATATGGGAAAAAGAAGCAGCCCCTCATTCTCTCTTATGTACCAATAAACATTCCTCCACATTTTCACAACTTTACAAAAAGAAATGCACCATTAACTAACCGTGTGTACACTACCAAGCATCCCATCTTAACAAAGCCAAGAATAATCATTAACCAACCGAACCATATTCTTTCTATCATGTTCATCAAATTCGATGTAACAAATGTTTTTTTAAAAATCTTTATATAAAGTTGTGATTTGTGATTAAGGCTTGTGTCAAGTGTTTTCTTGAAGATAATGGCCATGGTGACAAGGGTGGTTGCTGAAAAGCCTGTGGTTATATTCAGTAAAACTTCTTGTTGCATGTGTCACACCATTAAATCTTTGATTAATAGCTTTGGGTCAAATCCTGTGGTTTATGAGCTAGATGAACATCCTAATGGGAAGCAACTGGAAGATGAGCTGAAAGCACTAGGATGTAAGCCAAGTGTACCAGTTGTGTTTATAGGGCAACAACTATTAGGCGGTTCAAATGAGATCATGTCACTCCATCTCAAAGGGAAACTAGCCCATGTACTGAAAAGTTAAGGGTAATTGCTATATGAAGTAACAGTGTCTTGTTTACAATGTCAGAAACTATTATATATGGGGGTGTTTTCGCAGATGTTAGCCTATAAAATCTCTCTACTGTGTTCCTAATTGCTATATGTATCAAGAACATTCAGAAATGTATCCATGTCAATTTCATTTCAGGCCTTACATAATCTTTCAATCAATCAGTATAAACAATGAACAACAGTGATTAGAAAGCATAATAATAAAGACATGCAACTGAGCATTGGTAGCAAGAATCATCTACAGGCAGAATAAAGGATGATGAGAGCTTACTATTGTCCACAATTATTCTTTGCATCAGAAAATATGAACAAATGATATGTCTTTAATTGATATAATCTTTCAAAAGAGGCCTATTTCTTTCTATGATTGCATTCCTCTTCCAATTCTCTACTGCTTTCTTAACAGTAGAATTGGCTTTTGCAATCTCCTCAGCAGAAAACTTGTGCTCTATAATTCCTAAAGGTCCAGGTTGGAGTACTTTGACCACAGTCTCCATCTCATGCTCAACCTGCCTATAATAATAGATTTCAAAACCACATCACACATCAGCAATCAAATTTAATCATACATAATTGTTCTTATCTTCTTCATTAAAACTGCATCCGATTATGGTACAACAGAATGCAAAGGACTCCTATTTAGCTTTTGCATATTGAAATGAAAACAAACCCTAATAAACTACTTTGAAAAACATAAGATGAATGTAATCCCCCAAGCAGTAGGTCGCCCGAAAACCTCCAAATTAACGTGTGCAAATTTATTAACACCTCGCCAATTCGGAAAGTAAGAATCAAAATGAGGCAGATTTACAGCAATAAAGAAACAGTAATTCAAGAAAACAGAAAATTGATCGACACAGAGTAAAACATACATGTTGGAGCGACGGAGTACCTAAAGAATCTGGAGAACGGAAGCGAGCTTCCCAGTCTGCTTAAAGAGATCCGCATATCGTGAATTTAAAAGTGCAGTCCGAATTATAAACGATACCAAATGAGAAATTTAACGAAGAACTGGTAACGAGAACCACCGCCCTTAGAACTTGCTGATCGAACGTTGAAATTGAAAAGGGGAAAATGAGTTTTGTGGGTACTAATTTTTATTATTATGTATTTTAATCATTTTTTAATAGGATTTATCATTAATTTTTACAAGTTTAACCAGGTGCAGGTTATTGTTTTTTATATACGATTGATAATTAACTTTTTTTATACCAGTTACCATCGATTTATGTCGTAATTGTTTACTTTAGCTAACATCATCCAATCCTACCACCACCGGTCACAAAACGCCATCTTTCATCATCATTTGCCACCACAAACAACCATCACCACAATTCACCACTACCATCAAATAACTAATTTAAAATCAATTTCAACATGCAGCAAAATCGATTCAAACTTACATTCAAACCTCCAATAAATTCAGTTTCATACTCCAACAGTAAAGTTGCATCATTGAACGGTTGCGGTTACGAGTGGCGCATGATTCAAAAAGATTGAGAGATGGATGTAGAGGTATGGTAGTTTTCGCAAAGTAGAAAGAGACGGAAATGTGTGAGTGACAGCATAGGGATGTCGGTGGTAGTAAAGAGTGTGAGGGAGTTTTCATCGGAGAAGAGAATGAGGAGACCGAGCACTTTGTAATGTGTTTTGAAAATTGAACGGGGTAAGACTAATGTTTTTTCTTTCTTCTTTTGAATTATGTTGGCCAAATAAGATGATTGAAAAATACATAATGGTCGAAAAGGATGAAAGCGACTAAATATTTACAAAAGTTAGTTTCATGGTAAATTGTGTACGAAATTATAAGTTTCATGGTAAATCGTATACAAAAATGTAAATTTCATGGTGTTTTTTGAACAATAAATATAAGTTTAATTGTGTTTTTGAACACATAAACAAACTAGATTTGTAATAGCTTGTCAAAATGGTATTTCTTAAACAACAAGTATGAATTTAACGGTAAATCGTATATAAAAAAATAAAAAAACAACAAATAAATGTGTACATAAATGATAGATTTTCCCATTAAAACTTTTTGCACTTAATTTATACTTGAATTCAGCCCAAGCCCAAGCCCAAAAATCATCATTTTAATTTATATATATGGTAGATTTTACCAAAAAAAAAATCACCTTTTTGAAAGTTTCTCTTTAAAGAAGATCGAAGTACAAATTCTAGGAGCTTCAATAAGGAGGTGGTAGAAGGGGTAACGCATTATCGTTTGCAAAGCAAGACAAAATGTCTTCGGAATTTCACCAAATTGTGGACCACCTTCGAAGGTGTTTGTTCTAAACAAAAATACTATTTAAAAGATAGTGTTGCCAACACACGAATTTGCTTCCGATGCTGAGTTATCTCAATTTGTAACGTCCTATTTTCACAACAAAAAATTTTCATTTTTATTAAGGTAAAACTTCCCAGTTATAAAACCATTTTAAGAAAAACCATTTATTCCGAATTACATTTATCGAAAATCGGAGTAATATAAATAAAGCGGAATCCTCAATGTTGTTGATGCATGTGTACGGTCACGCCTTCGTCTTCCTACGATCACTAATAGAACCTGAAACATAAACAACTGGGTAAGCACAAAGCTTAGTGATTTTTCCCCAAAATACCCCATACAACAAACATACTAGCATGCATATCAGGTCCACAATCATCGGATTGGATTACCCTGTCCTAATCAGTCTCCGGACTGGAATGCCAACACACAACGGGTCCAATCAGTCATCGGACTAGAATACCCATGGTGTGTTGGCATACCGCCTCAACCCAACCGTTCATCTCGAGCCTCCGTACCTACGACTTGCAGCCGGCTATCTTGGCATACAACACATGGTAGGACCGCCTCAACCTCAACCACCACCATATGTCGACATATAAAGAAACAAGGATCAAGTAGGCACATAATACAGACAATATCAATCATACAGTTCACTACCACCTATTAGATCTCTCACAGCACACTACTTCGCTACCAGCTAACCTCTATGGAATACGTAACCATAAGTAACTAGAGGTGAGATAGTCACCCGATCAGATGATCCTACTCTAGAGCCACAACCAAATAAGGAACATGCAACAAAGCCTAGATCAGGAGTTCTCAAGCTATCCTACATGACAACGTACAGTCCCTAGGACACTCCACTAGACGATAACCTGCCTACTGGTACTCTAACCAATATACCACTAGGATATATATATATATATATATATATATATATATATATATATATATATATATATATATATATATA